AACGCTTTTACGACAATTTTCAGAAGCAAATGTGTTTCTCATTCAAATACCTCCTCACTGTCGTGAAATTGCTAAAAATGTTTTATGTACTCACTATTACTTGCCCTGTGGTTTTAATGGCACCCTGCATGTTCCACTACCTTTATGTCCTGATGTGTGTCGATACATGTCAGAAACGTTATGTCCTGATATTTGGTCATTTGTTGCTACATTTCTTATCTCAAATAGCGTTGATCCTGAGTACAGGAATGATGAAGGAGTGAAGCTACCAGTTTGTAATAATACCGATCAAATGATCAACTATTTAAATCTGTCTAGTGACTGTTGTTCAAATGGAGGTGTCATACTACCCAGCTCAACAATCATAACAAGTAACTGTTATGTCAGTTGTTTTTGTTTAGAAATGACAAACAAATATCATATGTTTTATTTAGTAATGTGGGTTACTATTATACATTAAGTGGAACATAGGCGTATTTGGACCCGGGCAAGCACGGGCTTTGCCCGGGTAGAAATTTACAGCCATAATTATATTCATTGGTTATTGTATTATACACAGTATTGTAACAGTGGGAGGACTGTTAACCACAATAGTTAGCACTGTTAACCACAATAATTTAGCACACACCTACATGTTCCAAGTGTTTATTTAAGCACCAGGGCAGTTATAGGTCTTAAATTTTAAATGCATTTGCCCAAATTGCCCACAATCAATAGTTAAAGGTATAAATAATTAATTAAGTATATGAATAATTAATTAATTAATTAATTATATGAATAATTAATTAAGTGCCCTAGTAGCTGGAGAAGGCTAGATACGCCTATGATAGTGGAATTGTTTATCTTTTTGTAGTCATGGCCAATACACTGTTTACCAGCCATTCAATAACAACAATTCAAACTACTCATATTATCCATACAAGAGAAACGACAATAATAACAGAAGTTACTAGTTCTAGTGATACACCATCTGTCTCAAATCAACAAACACCTATTGTGATATCAGGAATAGTCACATTTCTATTAGTGTGTCTGGTAGCGTTTACTGTAATAATCCTTGTTGTCTATATGATTATGAAGAGAAGGAATCGTAAAAAAAAATGGCAACTTACAATGGCAGAAATTCCAAAGAATCCTCTTTATTCTACTCCCTCTTCATGTAAGTTATCTGAATACTATTCTTGCTTTTAAATATTCTGGATATAATATATATTCACTTTCTTTATAATAATTAGTTATGGAAAAAGACATGAAAGAAAACACCTACAGTTCTAGCAAACCTATTGAGATTTCATCAATTTATATGAATCAGCTCTCAAATTATATAGTGCCAGGGTCCACCATAAGCATGCAAGAAACTATTGGACAAGGTTTTTGATTCTTTAATTATCATAGCACTAATAAATTCTAATCTGTATTCTATAGGTGAGTTTGGTATAGTTTATCGTGGAGTGATGACGATAGAGAATAAAATACCTGAACCAGTTGCCATAAAGACATTAAAAGGTAGTAATATTAGTAAATGTGTAAAATATAAAATGTATAGACCACCCAGAGTGAGAATTGCTTGCGTGGGAAGACTATTACGGTTGTAAGGCGTGGTTTAGAATGAAATAATTTCCGGCCGCCATTTTGGTTGGCAACTTTCAATAGAGAACAATGGGCCAACATAAAAACAAACCTACATTAAGAATTCTGGAGCAAACTTGACCAAACCCTTTACAGGAGACACTCAAAGGTAGCTATACTTTCTTATAACAAGCATGCAGTTTTTAGCTTTTGATAGAGCTACAGCAGGTAAGTGAGGCATTTTCTTTGTGCCTCCATTGACTTGCTTAGCAAACTTGCCAACCAAAATGGTAGCCAATTATGATGTGTGGGCGGATGCCGTATATAAAATTAATGAAATTCATAGCTTTTGCAATTCTCATTCTGGGTGGTCTATAATACCGTACAAGATGATTTATTAGCGAGGAATTAATGTTGGTGATTGGCGGTTCTATGAAGAAATTGCCAATATGAAAAGTGCCATTTCGTTTCAAACTGAGCATGCCCAATGGCACATGGCTCAAAATCGCCAATATAAAATTTGCTCTACAGGCAAATTCGCCAAAATATTACTCCCGCCAATCAATCATCTTGTACGGCAATGTAATTTTACTCTAAACTATTTTTCATTCAGTTGCATGCTGGCATAATTGCATCAATTCATTATGAATAATTCATTTGCTTTTGTTTTAGGTTTTTATAAAGAGAGTGATATTGATTCATTACTGGATGAGTGCATTATAATGATGTCATTTGATAATTTAAATGTATTACCACTGATTGGTGTGTGTCTTGATCTTGGACCAGCTCCATACATTATCATGCCTTTCATGTCAAGAGGAAGTTTATTGTCTTACCTCAAGAAAGAGAGGCCTAATCTTACAGTAGCTGATACCAGTGAAGAGGATATTATACTGAATGTCAGGAAACAATTACTCTCCATTTGTTTACAAGTTGCCAATGGAATGTCTTACTTAGCTTCACAGAGGTTCATTCATCGTGATCTTGCAGCTAGAAATTGCATGTAAGTCTTTGTTGTTCTACTCCAAGTTTTTTAATTCAATTTTAATAAACACTTTCACTGTCATCTTAATTTCATTAGTAATTAATTTTGCAGAAATGATAGAGGGGGATTTTTATAAGTATGCATCATTGATTATTAATTTATGTATGGCATAGGATTGATGATAATGGTATCATTAAAGTAGCAGATTTTGGAATATCTGAAGACATATATGCCTGCAATTACTTTAGACAACTAAAGGGCAGTGATAATAACTCAGGATCATCAACA